TATAATTTGCATCACCGACTCCTCCAGGCTGCTTAGTTATTTTACTCTCTTGGATATAAATTGTTAGATGTCTTGATTACGCAAACTAATTTACTTATGTTAAGGCTAATTAGTTCATGAGTACTTTAAAATTGTGTAAGATTTTTTTTGTTTCAAATACAGGAGATAGTAGGATCAATGCTAATAACCCACTTACTAATGGTACATACCAGGAGGGGCATATCTACGTTGGGCTGAGGTTAGATATAAATCTTACTCTTATTTCAAATGAAATCAAGTAAAAGTTAAGCTCCAACTGTTTTACATCCTGTAATTATATAAATAACTTATTTAAAGAGAAACAATAGATCATTTCCGTCATTGAATCGTAGTTACGTGCTTGCCTATTAGGTCCAATTTCAAACGTTTTCATTGGTTTTATTAGAGATAAAACACCTGATAAGCTTAGAAGATATGTATTAATTGGATAATGATTGATACATCATTTGATTCAAGTATTGCGTAACACATTTCAATTCAACAATTAAAATTTATTATTGAAAATTTTCTCGTCATGAATTTAAATTTGAAAATAATAGTTTTTTAACGAGTGTATTGCAAAGTGTATTAAATTGAAGGATTTAAATCAAAAGGTTTATAAATCATTTTTCATATTAAATATACGTAAAAATCATGCAAATGGGGGAAAATGTTTATGGTACAAGTACTTAACAAGTCATCTCATCTTCAAAGAATTAAACAGTGTTACAATTTTTTTTTTTTAAGTCTTAATTTGCTGGATTTGGGAATTCCTACAGACGTATTAACCTGCTTATTCAGTTTTTAACTTTTGGTTGTGAACTCTTGCTAGACCAGTTCCCTCATTAATAAGCACAACAAAGCAATAATTAAGTTTTTTAACAAACAGCATATAAATTTGAGACTTTAAGGAACATGACTATAAGAAATAATTGTTAATTATTAATTTTATTTTAAAATTAATAAAATTAATTTTTATTTTAATTATAAAAGTCAGTGTTAATTTTTAAAAATTAAAAAAT